GGTTATGGGTAATCCATTTCTTTCCGTCCTTATAGACAACTTGGGATCGTCGACCTTGTGTATGTAGGGTGGCCTAGTCGTGTAATGAGTATTGTCCGATAGCCTTAGAGCTTTTGACAGAAAGCTGGGACCTTGTGGTGAATGGGAGTCTGCTACGACAGGTACTTGGTGCTCGTTACGTGAGTGTACCGTGCGCGGATGTATAGGATCACAGACAAAGGGGATATCCAGAACTGGACCAGTCGAGGGCAAGAGGCTAGCAGGTACTTGGTGCTCGAGGGAGTGTACTGGTAGCGAGTGATATGACCACTCCTTGAGGGAGCTTCCTGAGATTTGGTTGATGGGTACTTGGCACCCAGATGGGTGTACCGGCAACGAATGAGATTCCAGCTCCTTGAGGGAGCCACTTGAGGCTGGGTTGACGGATACTTGGTGCCCAGATGGGTGTACCGGCAATGGGGTATAAGACCGTTTGTTTGGCAAACGGTCTGTGTTCGTGTCAATGGGTACTTGGTGCTCGTATGAGCATACCAGTGACAGAGGGGTTAGTTGATCATAGGTCGAATGACATGTGGTGGTATTGGCAGCTACTTGGCGCTCGCAAGAGCATACCGGCGATGAAGGGAACGGGCTTGTATTGAATACTAATACATCTATAGAGTTAACCAGATTCTCACCGTATGGTGAGACAGACAAGAGCCTGGTACCTGGGCGAGTGACGTGAGTCGTAACAGAAGGTGTTCGCACATACCTGAGTTGAGTCATGTGCGAACTTGACAATGTAACGGGTCTAGTCAATCTAGACTCGTGGCTCAGGTCTGGGGGGGGGTAGGTCTCTCTCTAGTGTCAGACAGATGTAGTGGGGTCCTTGGGTACGGTGCTGATAACCCTCTCTAACTACTATACAGCAGGTCATGGAAGAGTCCGATACAAATAGAAAAGGAAAGTCACATGCGTGAATGAATGAAAATAGTAAAGATAATAAAGAAAATGTCATATCTCCTCAACAACCCAACCAAATCCAACGATCTTAGACTCGTCAGAACCGCCTCTACAACCTCTACAACTCCTACTATTACCCCGACTCACCAATCCTAATCCCTGATGCAGTAAAGGGTGAAGTGTGCAATGAGGCTCGTTTTAACCTGCATGGACTTGTCCCCACAACAACGATCCATGGCTAGAGTTGTCAACCTCGGTAGGGATGACCCATATAGATGGTGACCGAGACATATACAATATTACACAGATGTTACAGTGTTGGCACAAGGAGGTTTACAGTTGTTGCACAGAAGGTGAGAGTGTGTTATTCGTTGAGTTTCATCTTTCTCGGCTGTAGCTGTACATGAACGTGACACTAACTATTGAATAAGAATGATCGTGAGAAGTCTCACAAAATGGAATAAATAATCTGGCCAGCACCAAAACCCAATAAGGGAAAGCTTAGTGTGGAGTGAGTGTATAAGGGGGGGGAATGGGGAGAATGTAAGAAAGAGATGGGAGGATGTGGACAAGGAGGACCTGCTGTGGTTGACGTTCCATCGACTCGGTCGCGAGAGACTCCATTCCTATAACAGATAGAGGCCCCATAATTGGAAAACAAAGGAGAGCTGGGGGCATTCCCCCTTGAAGCAGGAAATCAACCATCGCAGGAACCAAAAGAAACAGAGAAAGAAAGAGAATTGGGGTCAGATAGGGTGGACGTGTTCAAGCACACCTCCCTCTTCGCACAAAGGGGTTGAGTACAACCCTCTGATTGTGCAGTGTCCAGAGGGTTGCCAGTTAGTTTTTTGCATCAGACAACGAGTCTGACTCCGGCTCTGGTGTCGTGGCCGGTTCTGGGGTGGCGACTTTGGCCGCTCTGGCCTTGGATGCACTCGACCCGGCCTTGTAGCAGTCCTTAGCTATGTGTCCTGGCTTACCACAGAACATGCATAGGTTATTGTCGAAGTGCCATTGATGCTCTTCTTTGGTTAGCCTACCGTCTTTCCCAAGCTTTGTGGCGAGGTCAGATTTTGGCTTACCATCGGCATGCTTGTCCTTTGGTTTATTGTTAGTGGATGTGGAGGGTGTGGCAGGGGAAGGTGTGGTGGATCATTGAGATTTGGTGGGGTGCGGTTTTTGGGAGCCTTTGTCATGGGTGTCAGAGGCAGGTTTACTGTGCCGATCAGTCTGGGCCTTTCGTTCCCAGTAGTGCATATCGATTTCATCTGCAAGGTCCCGTAGGTCATATAACGATGTTGGTTTACCAAACTGAGTGATTTCATCTTTGATGTGATCGGGCAGACCATGGTAGAACAGGGCACGGAGGGCTCCTTCACCCCAGTTGTCCAACTTACCCACATAGCGGTTGAACTCGGTAACGTACTTCCTGATGGTTTGTCCATCCTCCATTGTTAGGTTGAACAAACGTTCTTCAGCCTCACCAATGGAATTGCATGGGCTGAAGTTACATTCGAGTTCTCCCACAAACCTTGTCCAATCGTTCATCCACTGTGGTTCTCGACTGGGGCAGTGGCCACAAAGGATATTGGGCTCAAACCAGTCCAGTGCCGCCCCCTTCAAGTAAGAGACAGTGAACAGTACCTTGTCAGCCTCAGTCAGGAATGCTTGGGCATGGGTCATAAAATTTACTTTGCATTGAACGAAGAACATACAAAGTTTGTTACAGTCAGAGCCATCGAATGGTTTGGGTTCACGGACCTTCTTATGGGCTGGTTCAGGACAAGGCAGTGGTGGAGGAGCTGGCAGTGGTGCTGGCGGTGGAATTATCTGGCAGATGTCGTGAGTGGTTCGAGCAAGATCGGTGATCGCCTTGGTAAGCATGAAGACCATCCGTCCCTTTGGCAGGGCTCACTCAGCTTGCTCAGTATCGATTTCTTCAATCTCCTTGTTGACAGTAACCAGTGGATCAGCAGGTAACTCCTCTTGTGGCGCTGGCTCAGGCTCTGGTTTGGGTTCTGGCACCGGCTCGATTGGTGTCTGGGCTGTTACCTCAGCCTCATTACCAAGTGAATTGCTGTCAACTTTGCTCAGCGTTTGTTGCCAGCAGTATTGACAGCATTTCACTGGCATTGAGGACCATAAGTCTGCCTGGTCTGCTGTGAAACTCTCAAATAAAGGTTCATCTGACTCTTTCCTATCAAATAATATGCAGGAGGTATACTGTGCATATGGTGATGCGGAAGTATGTACCAGCCACTGGTGGGCGGGTCTGAGAATGGGTCATGGGTTTGTGAGACATAGTTTAACGTCAAGAGCGAGGGGAGTTCGAAAATACTGTCAGGGCATGGGAAGAACGTTACCATGACCCGCCACCGGCAACCGTTAAGGCCTGCTACTCCAGTGTAACAGCCTGTTAAGGGTGGGGATGACAACCACAGCAAAGCGGGGTTTCGGCTCCAATGACTCATCCATGAGCATTGTGCCTTGTACTTGATGTGGCCCCGATATTTCAGAGGACAGAGGGTGCAACTGGGTCAGACAAGGAGCACAGGGGGTAACCCTAGTTGATTTTCGAACTAAAGTATGAGGTAGTGTACAACCAGTATTTAAGTGTAATGGAATGAATAGGAATAAGTCGCCAGATCTCATGGAGATTGCAGGCAGCTTTAAGAAGGAACAAAACAAACAACGAGCATGGGAGAAGGATGGCCATGCACAGCCATCAAGAAAACAAGAGTAATAAGGAATGACTTGTAGGCCTGTGACAGGCCATGGAAAAGGTAGCAGTGATGGGGAGGGATGACAGGCTTGTCCAGGCGGTGTCAGGCAGGCAGCAGAGTTAATGGGGTCAAAGCAGAGGAGGGAGAAGGTGTGGGGAGTGGTCACCTGACCGTGGGAATTGCCGGGTCGTGACAATGACCTCCCAAGTCCTGACCCCAACAAGGCAACCCCAGTGAGTCTGAAATGAGGGCCAAGAGACAGCTAGGGGGCACAGCGCTCCTTGAGAGTCGCTGAGGCCAAATGCCCTACCCTCGGGCCTTGTTCATGGCATCATGGCCATCGCAGCCTATAGCAGTCTGCAACAGCGACCCTCAGTGCTGACCCTGGACCAGTGTCTAACACTATGGGCATTTACAAATGCTTGGGAGTGTATCATTATTATATGAATGCATGCACAACATTACATTTCAACATGGTCAAATTCTTTGCGGTTGCAGTTGCAGTTTGGTTCAGAACCGGTTCGTGATATTGTCATAGAACCAGGGCACACCCCTACTAGTTATGCCTGCTGTGCTACCTGAGTGCTCACTTAAGTCAACTGCCAACATGACCCCCATTTCTCCTTGAGACCAACTAGCACATTGTCTGTAGACCATCTTGGCCAATTTAAAAACCCCCTTGCAGAATATTCATGACACACCAAGAATAAGGCTTCGTCTGGTATGCCCAGTTTCTTATGTAATACTAACAACAAACCATCTTTTATTCTGAACAATATTCATGTTTCCTGCTTGCACTTTCGGGAGATTTACTAACTGCTCTGTTCAGTAGGAAGAAACAGGTTTTTTCAGATCATTTCTTTTGCATTGTTTCTTTTTCATCCTCAAAAAAACTCCTGTTGACAGTTTCTTTCCATGCCTATTGATCGAAGTGAAAATGGTTCCTGTGCACAAAGCTAACACTACATAAAGCGTTGTTGTATTGATGGCATCAACGTTGCCAACTTGTTTCAATTTCCACTGGGCATTGTCTATAAAGTGCGGTTTTGTCAACTATCATATAAAGTATAATTTGCATGCTGAGGGATGACAAAGAAACTGATGTACTTGAACAGTTGCCATTTTTCTAGTCATTTCTTGGCGAAAGCCAAAGAACAACGCAGAATAACCTTTGAATCAAAAAACAACCTGTTTCTTCAGAACATTACACAACTCCATTATGCTGAGAAGTTAGGATTGGAGCCAGGGATTGATTTGAAGGCCAAATATCAATATTGGAGTGATAATGCATGCACAATGAATTAGTTTATTCTACATCGGAGTAAATCATTGACCCTATGCCACATCCTTTACTTGAGCCTCAAACAGTTGCATGGCAGTGTCATTTTCGTTTGATGTTCCATTTACTCCAACGACATCTATACACCATCATTCATATCTCATGCACATAGACCTGACATCCAGCTGCATGTTTCTGACTAAGAGGACCCTCCCACACTTCCAAAAGAAGCCTGCGAAGCCTGCCATTGTAACTTCAACTGTCTCCAAGCTTCTTTCCATAAAGGGCATGCCCTTGTGGTTCACCTTGTTAGGTGTTGATGTGCCTTCACCTCTGTTGCTCCTCGATGCCTGGGTGTCCCAGAACCATGTCACCTTGAATGGTGCTTGGTTTAAACCTGAGGTATGCCAATTGGCCCAAAGATCAGGTTTCTTTGTCACTTCGGATTTTAGGTATGGGACTTGATGGTCTGCAAGCTCATTCTGCCATTAGACCATCTGTGGCAAAATGAACTGCTCAGAACATGTCAATGTCAGTTTCCAGAAGATGATCTTGGCCACAAGTCAGATTGGAGTGTTTCTATCTGCAAGGTTGAAAGTGTGAAGAATCTAGAGGCAGCAGGTACATATAATACTGTGATGGTGTTCATGTGAATGCATTATGATTCTTGCTTGCACTGCGACTAGGCTACCAAGATGTGTTTTGGGCTTTTCCATGATTCACAATTCAAGAGGGTTGCATCAAATATGTGGACATGATGGAAGGGATGATGCATCTGCTTCACCATCATTTTCGATCGTTCCACCCACCCAGACTAAGTCCACCTCCAACATGGAGTTGAAAGACCTGAATGCATGGAGAAAATATGGGATTTTATCCCAATTATCCCCTTATGGCACTGTTTGGGCAATGAACTCCCCTGAAGTCAGTGATGAGTTTTGTCTCCCAACGAAACCTTACAGCATTTTTTCACGTTTGATTTCCAACATGTCTCGCTGAACCATTATGTTTGTCGTCCAATTATTTAATGTGTTCCAACTCTATTGTCCCGAATATGCGATTTACCAGCTGTTCACCATTCATTTGCTGCCATTTTTGAACTGTCACATGATTGCCATGGTTTGTCTCTTGAATTGGTCAATTTGTTGCATCCGAAGTCTAAACCCATTCATTTCTTCCATGTCATGGAACCAGACATTGAGTCATCCCTGCAGCCCAAGCTCAGCTTGTGATGCAGCATGCTCCTGAACCACAGAGCCTGCTGTTCCAGCTGGACCAATAGGTCCCCACCTGGTTGAAACACCAACTGAAATGGTGTGATTGGGGGTGGTGTTCTCAAACATGTATTGAATTACTAATAGGGAATTGGGTTTGATACTCTGCTGACCTGGACCACATCTGGGACATTTGTACAATGGGAGCCCATAGGGCCTTCCAGCACTATGTGCCAAAGTATGGAAGAATGGGCTGTTCGTATACAGGCAGGTACGTTCCTTTCCTTTGATCTTGAAAAACAATTTGTCATTGATGACCCATCAGGTATCCGGACCACAAAGCCACCCAGAGACTTTCTCACTCACACATGGATACTTTGTTATGCTAACACTCTGAGGGAGTTTTGCTTTCTTGGGAACCATGTTGAGCAACCCATTTATCCCTTCACCCTTCATCACAATCATACCTCTGCTGAGCGAAGAAAGATACACAATGCCCCTCAGTATCCAAAAATTCCCCCTATTCCCTCCTCTACTGGTCATCAATCTCTCATGTGCCTCTCGTGCTCTCACACAATGCACCATATCATCCTCCACTTCCTGGTCCATCAGTTGTCAAAAACCACCGTGGCAGAAAACATCTTAGTAATGAATATATTCTCCAGGTCGAAGCGTTTGTACAGTCTCAGTTTGACCTATTCTCGTGGTGGGATGCAATCTGGGACATGTTTTCATTAGTGGAACAATGCATGCCAATGCCTTGAACTCAGGATGGGCTGACTGCAGAATCCTTTCAATGGAAGGATAGGCTGAGGCATATGGGGGGAATATTGAAGGGCTAGTCAACAATGTAGATGAAGTGCTTATGTTTGTGTACAAGTTGGGTGGCGTTGGTCGATGGTACTGTCATCATCACATCAAGTGGCTCCTTCGTGAACACAATGGTGATTATTTCTTGGGTGTGGACGACACATCAGCTGATAGGTGTTGTGTTTAAACTCCCTTTTGCAGACGACTGCCCATCATTGAGGACAAGAATGGAAATGCTGTCCCATCACGGTGTTCCTGTTTTCGGTGTTCAGGTCATTGGGAGTGGGGGTAGTCTTTGGCAAGATTTCGTGCCATGGTGCAGGACAGATTTTAAAACTTATGCGATGGCAGTTCAGTCTGCATCCCTTCCAGCAGTACAGCCAAGGGGCATCATTTTCAAGCAGCTCAAGTTCACACCTGCTTGCCCAATACCCTGGATCATCAGGCCAACCCATGGCTACCCTGGTTTATGGGACCCCTCAATCATGATGGAATTGGCCCTTGCAGATGTACTTTATCCTAGCCATAATCCACTTTACACAGAAGGGGAACTGTGTTGGTTGATTAAATCTTTTTTCGGCCATAACCTCTTTCCTGTCATGCCTCCTCCATCCCCTCTGCCACGGTGTCCATCCTCCCCTACACTTAAACCAGTGCATACCTGGCATGATAGTGTTGGAGGCTCTAGCAACAACAAATTTTACCCTCATTTCAAGCCTCCCCATCAGGAACATGATAAGGACTCATCCGATTATGAAGAAAGGGTGACTGTGGTGGCTCAAAAGTTTTCAGATGAGCAGCAGAGTGTGGATGCTGCCTGCCAACTCTTGCAAATGCATGGGACGACGACAGAGATGCCATTGAAAGATGCCAAGGGATTTGGGATCGAGGACATGGGAAAAAGAAGAGGCAACTGTCAGCCCATGATTACCATATCATCAGCAATTGGCATAAGTACAGACCTGATCAAGAGTTTGCCAAACGAAGCCGAAATTATGGGATCATGATGGACATCAGGTCGATGGTTGAGATGGATTACCATTGCAGCATGAAGACGTCTGCATGGGGCCTGCGATGGACCTTGAGACAAATAATATTGATAAAGGTTCCAAGTGCCATCACATGTCCGTCAGCTGCATTAATCCACCAGCTCTTGTCTCATTGTCTCCTTCACCTCCTACCCCCACCTCCAGGTTGTCTCCAGGAGACACTTGTTTTGACCCCATTCATATTGAGACTTCGGATTCCTCACACACCAGGAACCCTGTCGACCATCCTTCATGCCCAACATCACCATTGTCGAAAACCCACTCAAGGAGTGCATGACATGCTGTGAAGGACCAAAATCATCTTCCAGATCTGTGACTAGCTCCTGACCCTCCGGTTGCCCTCTGCTCAATCGTTTTCCATTGCCAAATCCCATCCCATCCAGACATGGTACAACACCAAGTCATGGTGTTCATCTCACTTCTGCTGCCTCGAGGGTGTCAGACAACAACTTTGTCAAAAGTGCCGATTCTGCGGTGAGGAGGCCAATGCATCCTGGGGACAGCCATGTCACTGCCTCCCCGCTGGCTGTGCTGGGAAACCTCCCTCTGCCGAATGTGGTGACACCAATGGCCACATCGCTGAGCAAGGGCAGTCAATCCGTGGATTCATTCTCAAGGCCAAACAATGAAAGCCAGAAGGCATCAGACAGTGGCCTTGCCAAGATTGCGGTGACGAGGGAGCCAACACATCCTCTTGTGACTATTGGGTATCATGCTTTGCTGCCAAATGAGGGTGGCCATGTGGCTGCTCCCTCGCAGTCAGTTGGCATGCTCAGCTCGTCAATTCCAGCGCATTGGCCTGTGGTAGATGAGGTTCAGGATACAGAGTTGCTCTGGCTGGAAAAGTGCAGTGCCCAAGGAGTCTATGCAGCGCATCATGCAAGGAAGAGTGGGTGTCATGAGCCACCATCTATGGAGCTGCTCTTTAAGCATCTTGCTGATCGTGATGGAATGGCTGATAAGTTGTGTTCAGAGGGAAGAGCTTGTTCATCAGATATGTATGTCAGCTCACTCCTTAATTACACATCCACAGTGGAATTGCTATACATGGATATGGCCTTTACGTGCAAGCATGCTGATATTCCAGCTATCATCGGTACTGCACCTCTGAAGGCGAACAAGGTGAATCATCTTCATGCTTTCCTTCAGTACAAAAAGTATCCCCCTCATTCCCCAGTCCCCATACCAACACCCTCCCCCCAACAAAAATGATTGTATACGTCCTATGCAATGCATCACGTTTTCAGCTGCCTGGCTACAATCTAGAGTGTATCAGGAGGCTTCTGATACTGAACTCCATCATTTTGAGGTTCTTATTGGTGCCCACTCTCTCCAGAGTCAAGGTCTGTTGAAATTCTCCATGCCTATGTGGCCAATGTCAGGCCCTATGGATGGTGTGATTCTGTCAGGGCACACACCCTGACTAGCCCGGACCCGGACCTGCGTCCGGACCCGCTACACTTCCCGCGCGCATTCCCGCGCCGCATGCTCCGTGTGCCGCATGGTCCGGCCCCGGATCCTGCCTTCATGTGATTTCCGGGTATCCCCGGAAGTTTTCCTGATATGGTGGCCACTGTGGGAAGATGAGAAGTTAGCTTCCTTCTCATCACCTTACCCACAGTAGGCAAGTGTACCTTACCTACTGTTTATCTATTCATCTCCTTACCCACAGTAGGGCTGTTCATAGGTCAGGCTGTGGACCATAGGGGAGGGTCATGGGGACCCGGGAGTCATCCCCTGACAGATTCGCCATGTTGCACACTGGGCTCACAAAGAGATGACGAGCAATGCTGAAGAACCATGTATCATCGAGTTAAGTGCAGAAATGCTTCAATATCACCCTAAGGGTAATAATTGGCAAATCATGCTTGAACTGAATCTTGGTAGGCTTCGCTACATGAAGCACATCTCCAAGCTGTGGACTCATCTTATTTGATGTGGTCATTCTTCTGCCTTGTGTATTCATGTCATTTCCGTGCTTGCATGGTCACTTTGGAGTCCACAATTACGTAATGTGTTCTCTTTCCTGCCTTTCCACTGCAATGTCATGTTCCTCTGTATCTCCCACATGTACTCCTTTTTCTCTTCTCATATAATATATACATTTTTGGCATCATGTGCAGGCAAGGTCACACTAGCGATGCATTGATTACATAACAAACTGTATAGTTGTTTGTTTAGCACATTGTGGTGAGTTGAGTTCCTCAAAGCTGCCATGGCCTGAATCCCATTCATCACTAGCCTCTTACTCTATCTAAGAACATGAGGTTGAAGCTGTCTTGGTCATTCTGCTCTTTCACAGGAGGAACGAGCTGCTCATAGAGGTTACACATTATTGAAGTGTCTGCACTCTTCTTGGTTGATGAGAAGGGTGGAGCATTCAGTCTGCCCGTATTTCATCAAGTGAAGCAAGGTCAAATCATTCTGGCTGGCAAGGAGGGTGGAGCACTCAACCTCAATGCATCCCCATTTCCAAGCACGAGAAGAGCATGTTCCCTGGATTTCTTATTAAGACCCATCATATAGATGATACCTCTTAATGTATGTTGACCAAAATGCCAAGTGTGGTACCTCAATTGATTATGTTTTCCACAGAATCCTTTAATTATGAGCTCCAACAGTTCCCCAAAATGACCAAAACAAGCACCCATGCTTTGTGAACAAAGCAGCTGTACTCGGACCATCCCTGATTATCGGGCCCTAAAGAAGAGTAACCCCACTTGCTCCCGAGTCATCTCCAACTCCAGAACTGCCCCAGTAGAAGCGAGGACAGTTCCAGGTCCTTCCATGAATATTACCCCAGTAACTCCCCCTGCAATCTTTGCAAATATATCTCGACTTCATGATGCAGCGAAACAACTTCCATCCTCCACCCCTGGAGGGAGTCCAGGTTCAGTTTTTGGACAATACAGCATCACATCGATCATGCATGCCTTATCATTATACGCAATGCCTGCAGATGCATGGGAGGGGGAAATTAATCCATGGCTTGACCAGCACTTTGGAGTTTGGGCTATGGGACAGCTGGGGGCTATTCAGAAGTTGGCAAATCAGATTTCGGTCAGTCCTCACGGCCTCAATGGCTTTATAGAAATTCTCCAGTGGCTAGTAGGCAATGGCTACACTGTGGACACCATGCTTGGGGGGCAGGTGGATAACATAATTCATGCCATTGACTTCGTGTATGTATTCCGATTCTTACTATTTAGCTCATTGATAATTGAAATCATGTTCAACATAGTGTTGGATCATCTTCATGCCCCACATCCCCTTCTTGCACTTCCATCGCAAATTCCAGTCGTGATGTGAGACCTGGAGTCAGTGTGGTGGAACGGTGTTCCAAAATTGTGGCACCTTCACAGCATCCCAATGCCGGTCCTCCAAGATCTAAAGCCCATGCCGCTGAAAGGGGGCTTGTGGCTCTCTATGCTGACTAAGCTTGTGGGGCCGAACTCTCCCTAAGCTCCTACTTCTTGACTAGACTTTGCTTAACTCAATCCTAAAACTCCATGTGGGTTCTCTGGGATTTCCGCAATGTCCGGGCTCAGCATCCACTACTCACTCATTGTGAGCTAGATCACTGCCCTTATTCCTACTGTTGGAATTCCACTCACTCACACCCACTCTAGCATGTCCCAGCACCTTAGAGAAATTGGGGGAGGGGAGAACTTCTTTTCCAAAATCTGGTATGTACAGGATTATAAGAAATAATTATTTTTAGAAATAATAGATGGTGAATATTGGTGCCATATGGCACCTGGGTACCTTATTAGGCGAAATAATAATAAAAAGGTAACAGTAACAATAAAAGAATATTGATCAATAACTGAAATGATGGCAAAATATGAAAATATAAGAAACTAAGCGATATCTCAACGGATTTACGGAATTAAGAGCCGAAATTGGAAATGAAGCCGGAGATAACTTTCACACAGCCGATAAGCATTTTTACCAATTTATTAGACGCCGTGGGAACGAGTGAGGCAGGAATTCTGGGTTGCCACTTGAGATTCCCACGCCCCCACATGCCCGTGCCTAACTTGCCCAACATAGAACTCCGTCAATTCTCCACCGATTGGGACGTTCTTGATATCGTCGGAATCGTACGAATTAGCACTATTTTTAGATACCAATTTAGTACCGAATCGTCGCATGAATGAAAGGGGTTTTATAGTTGTGGAAGTGGGTATCCAAGCTGGCTGTGCATGTGGGTGATTATCCTGCCTACACTGTGGAACCCCTACTTGATAATCTCTCCCCACACTTCGCATCAGTCCTCCCAGTGAACACTGCTGTGCCCACTGCTCCTAAGAGAGGTGTGAAGCCTAGAGTCAATGCAGTGAAACAGCATGTCGGTATCATGGCACCGTCGCAAAGTCCCAATGCCAGCCTTCCAGCATCTGCCCCCACAGACATCCTATTTCATGACCTCTCTCCGCACTCCAGGCCTGCTAGCCAGTCAAGCTGCATGGCACCTACCAGTTCAACTGCTCCAAAGAGGGGCATCTCACCTGAACGGGACAGTCACATGTCAGTTAAGGAACTGGCTAAGAAGAAGCACAGAGGTGGCAAGTTGAGCAAGGGAAAGATCAAGGAGTTGGCATTGAAGAAGAAAGAGTTCCTACAGTATTTGGAGGAAAAGGGGGGGTTTCTTCTGTGTTTCTGCTGCACAGCATGAATCGCAGCGAGAGTCTTCAAACTTCGAAAACCACCATTGCTTGGAATAAGTTCCAGCATGACTTCACCCAGGACTGTGAGGGGGATTATTCTGCCATGAAGGCATCAGCCATGTTCAACGAACTTCATGATGAGCATGGCAGTGAAGGCTTGGAGGACTGGAAGGATCACTGTCAGGGATGCGTCCGGGGTAGAGGGGGTCCGGATGTATTGCCCGGCAGAGGGGCCCTTGTGGGGTGTAAACCGGGTGTGCATACTGGCAGGTCCAGAAAGGGACAGCAGTCCCTGGCCACTCAGACTGAAGTGGAGAATGTGTTATTAATTAAAAGGTGTCAGGGCATGGCCTAACCGGCTACCCTGACTCCCTATGCCAGAAGGGAGTTGCTGTAAGACGATCCAGAGTGATCCGAAGAATGCAGGTAATTTCACTTAGCTCTCGCTTAGCATCCCACTTCTATCTTCTGTCCACATGTCACCCCTTTCCCACACCTCACTTACGATTATCCGAATGAATATCTATCTTTTCATGTCATCATTCTATTGGCTATCTCTTATCTCATTGTAGCCACGCTCTAGTGGGTAGCGGTATATAACTTCTATCTCTGCTGAGGATGGCACCTCAGTGTTAACAATGACTAGGATTCTCAGGAACACCTTTATCGTCATGAACTGACATGCAGTCCCTGACAAAAGGGAAAACTACTTACCTGAAGTGGAGAATGTGAGAAGAAGGTTACTTCTTTGGTTCCCACTTCAGGCACATTTATGTACATGCAGCTTGAGTCACATGACAGGTGCCACGTTGTAGGCGGGATAATCGCCCACGCGCAGAGCCGGCTCGGATACCCGCTTCTACGATTAGAAAACCCCTTCCATTCACACAACAACTCGATACGGATTCGGTATCTAAAAATAGTACTAATTCGTACGATTCCGACGATATCAAGAACGTCCCAATCGGTGGAGATTTGACGGAGTTCCGTGTTGGAGGAGTTAGGCACAGCAGGTCACGGGCATGTGCGGGCGTGGGAATCTCAGGCAGCAACCCAGAATTCCAGCCTCACTCGTTCCCACGGCATCTAATAAATTGGTAAAAATGCTCATTGGCTGCGTGAGAGTTATCTCCGGCTACATTTCCAATTTAGGCTCTTAATTCCGTAAATCCGTTGAGATATCGCTTATTTTCTTATATTTTCATATTTTGCCATCATTTCAGATATTGATTGATATTCTTTTATTGTTACTGTTACTCTTTTTATTATTTCGCCTAATAAGGTATGCAGGTGCCATATGGTACCAATATTTCTCATCAATTATTCTAAAAATAATTGTTCCTTATATCCTGTACATACCGGATTTTGGAATAGAAGTTCTCCCCTCCCCCATTTTTCTCTAAGGTGCTAGGACGCGCTAGAGAGGGTGTGAGTGTGTGGAATTCCAACAGTAGGAATAAGGGCAGTGATCTAGCTCACAACGAGTGAGTAGTGGACACTGAGCCCGGACCTTGCGGAAATCCCGGAGAACCCACCACGGAGTTAAGGATCGAGAGTATAGCGAAGTTTAGTGAAGAAAGCAGGAGTTTGGAGAGTTTGGCCCCACGAGCTTAGTCGGCATAGAGAGCCGCGAGCCCTCTTGCAACGTCATCCTCAGAGACAGCTGCGGCCATCCAGGTGTCCCTGTGGGGGATCCTGAGAGCGTCTGCTGCATGCGTGCATGCTGGGCACAGTGGGAAGCTGTCCAGGGTGTCTGGGCCAGGCAGGTCAATAGTACATTGATACAAAGGAAAGTGGTCCATGTAGATAGAAGGAATAAACAGGAAGAGAATGATGAGAAGAATGAAACAAAGAAAGGAGAAGAAAGGGAGAGAAGAAAGAGGGAAAGAGGGAGGAGGGAGGAAGGAGAGGGATGGACAGCAGGGTAGCAGGTGTGGTGTGGCTGGGTGGGTCCAGGTGGACCTGGGTCAGGTGGGTGTGCCCTGACAATCACTGCAAGAAGATGGCGGCACAGTTCAACATGGAGAAGCAAGAGGCAATCAAAGACATGGCTCTTGTTGATGACAATCAAGCAGTTGCCATGAAATGGCTTGAGGGAGAACTCAGGGGCACCATTGACCTCACTCGACATGCAGGCATTTTTTGTTTTGTGGGTATGGTGTCTGGAGAACTGTCAAATGTCGCTGCACATGGAAGGAATATCATCCTTTTCAATGACTCCATCGTGCAAAACTTCCTTCATGACCATTGCAAGCTGAAGCAGCTGGAAAGTGATTTCTATTCATATGTTCTCACCCATCAGGGTCAAGGAGACGCAGTTGTGAGAGAGAAGCAAAAGCTTTGGAAGCAAAAGCAGAAAATGGAGACTTCAACTTGTGACTGTGCTCACCAAGCATTTGGTTGGACGTTGTAGGTGGGATAATTGCCCCAGCACAGAGCCAGCTTGGATACCTGCTTCCACCATTCAGAAAACCCCTTCCATTCATGCAACGATTCAGTACAGATTTGGTATCCAAAAATAGTGCTAATTCGTACGATTCCGACGATATCAAGAACGTCCCAATCGGTGGAGATTTGATGGAGTTCCGTGTTGGAGAAGTTAGGCACAGTAGGTCATGAGCATGTGCGGGTGTGGGAATCTCAAGCGGTAACCCAGAATCCCAGCCTCACTCGTTCCCACAGCGTCTAATAAATTGGTAAAAATGCTTATCGGCTGTGTGAGAGTTATCTCCGGCTTCATTTCCAATTTCGGCTCTTAATTCCGTAAATCCGTTGAGAAATCACTTATTTTCTTATATTTTCATATTTTTGCATCATTTCAGTTATTGATCAATATTCTTTTATTGATACTGTTACCCTTTTTTATTATTTCACCTAATAAGGTACCCAGGTGCCACATGGCACCAATATTTCTCATCTATTATTTCTAAAAATAATTATTTCTTATAATCCTGTACATACTGGATTTTTGAAAAGAAGTTCTCCCCTCCCCCAAATTCTCTAAGGTGCTAGGACACGCTAGAGTTGGAGTGAGTGAGTGGAATTCCAACAGTAGGAATAAGGGCAACAATCTAGCCTGCAACAAGTGGGTAGTGGATTTGTTAAGCCTGGACCTTGCAGAATCCTGGAGAACCCACCACAGAGTTAAGGATCAAGTTAAGCAAAGTCTAGTCAAGAAGTAGGAGTTTAGGGAGAGTTTGGCCCCACGAGCCATCGAGAGCTGTGAGCCCTCTTTCAACGTTCAAGGGGTGCTTTTCTCCACCGCTTGACTTGATTCCTTGGAAGACCCTCCCACTTATGCTCATCAAGCAGAAGGTGGCTATCCATAACTGTCCCCCAAATATCTTCCTTGATCTCATTTGCAAGGGTGGTGACTATGCGAAAGTCGAGCAGTGGCACATCCTCTATGATGCTGTTGGTGGAGAAGCTCCAACTGAAAGGTATGCAGAGTATGGGAAGAATCCTTCCCTGAAGCTGGTGGATGTCGTTCCTTGGAGTGCTGAGGATGGAGCTTGCATTCCAAACAGTAAGGACTACAAGGACATTGTCTTGCTTTGAGACAATCAAGGGGCTGGGGGTCATCAGGGTCATGTGTTGTTGACCATATGTGATGTCTCTGGTCTTCTTTCGATGAATGAAGCACCTGGTTTGGCTGATATTCAGCTGACTATGTCCAATTACAGCTGTTCAAAGTCCATGCTCCCTGCCAGCAACACTGAGTGTGTCTCCCTCTCACTTTCTGCCTTCAACTGTGACAGGATCAACAT